CAGGACGGCCCAGGAGCAGAAGGCTCCCAAGGGCAGGACATTCTCGCAGCGCGCCTCCTGACCATCCTGAGACTCAGCCCGGACAACCACGGAACGGCCAATGTGTCCGAGTGCCAGAACTTTCCTCTGTTCTAAGAGTCTAGAGCGGAGGTTGCCAGCATACATTATACATTATTAAGTGCCTTGGGGCAACCTTGTTATATAAAAATAAATGTAATTGAAATGAATAATCATATTTTTTGTTTTTCTTTATGATTTAAGGTCGGCCTTTGAGCGTCATTATAGTCATTATAACTTCAAAAACAAATCATCAGCCTTTAATGTTTCTTTTTGAAAGCACTGCTTTACTTTGGAGACTAGAATGATTTTGTATCCTTAGAATCGTATCGTGTTTTGATATTATTTACTATCTCTGCAATGGCAAAGCAGACCTACTGCACACCTACTCTGTTACCTTTCTCATAATGTACATTCTCCACTGTCTTCTCTTCCTGGTCTCCCTGTATGATGATTGTACTCTCTTCCAGATTATTTGGTATCTCAGTTATTTCTCTTGTTAAGACATTCTGATATCTGGGGCGTCCTGTATGAAAGAATGGGAAAACATACAGTATTTTGTTCTTGTTGGAAAACAGTCATATTACTCTGCATTGCAGAATCACAGTATGGAATGACTGAAAGACTGAATGGGATTTTGTATAATAATATACTCTTTTATTTCCTAGATATTAAAAACCACATATCTGCTATTCAGGGGTCAAAAGGTTGAGAGTAGTCTGGGAAGATGGGCAAGGCCCTTTCTTATACTGTCTAAAGGAGCCCATTAATAGTGGTGTTAATAGGAATTGACTTAAATGCCTTAAGTTCCACCTTTGGTTAAGACACAGAGATAGGGTTTGTGAGAAGATGCACACTGTTACAGGACTCAACAAATAAATGTAAATTACTGACATGGGCTTGATGATGCTATGGGGTTTCTTTTTTGGGGATAGCCAGAAGGATCTGGCCTGGGGTTCCAGATACATTTTGTTGTGTTGGCACAAAAAAAATACTGTATTTGTAATCTGCCTCAGCTCAACAAATCACTCAATCTATTGCACTTCATCATGTTAAGTCTGCTACACCTTCAACCCTCATTCCAGGTCAGGGACTGGTTCACATTGTACTTGTAGCCAAATTCTTCTTTATAGACTAATTACAACATTTTTAAAAATCAACTAGCACTACCCTTTCTTCATTTCATTTAATGTAAAACATTGGTATAATAGATGAAAAACTATTATTTGGATAACTTACTGATTAATTCCTATAAAAAGTTTTTTCAGCTAGACATGAGGGTAGCGAAATTATAAGGAATTAAACAACATAAACTACAATTGTTTAATTAATTATAGGTATACAGTACAAGTATTATACAAGTGCATAGCCCTTCTGTTTAACTTTTGTGCAAACTCAGATGAAGATCACCTTAACTAATGAAACTAAAAGTATAATTAATTACTGAAGAAAATATGTTACATAGAAAACAATACATATAGTAATGTAAACCAGCTTTTTCTCTGAGAATGTATGTGGACAGACTTAATTTAAAAAGGTAGATCTCCATTATATTTACTACATTACATGTAATAAAAATAAAAAATAAATTTGTGTTAAATTTTATTCTAGCTGCTGTTCACGGAATTTTACTTAAGTACCTGGTATATATTCTTTTTCTAAGAGAAGTTTCTGTTTTAACTGTTTTTCCTAATCAATAACGATTCCTGCAAAAAGAAGGGAACAATCCAAATAATAATGATGAATATCCAGTCAGATGATTCCTTTTGTTTTTTGTATACACTTCCATCCAAAAGTATTGGGACAAGGAATTCTAAACAGGAATTTTTGTTATGATCTTAAATTATATTTGCATTACATTGTAACATTAATTGTCATGAAAAAATAATGTGACTGATTAAGCTCTATAATAAATATGATAAATAAAGTTCTGCTTCTTAACTCAATTAAACCGCTTTATTATGAAGGAGCAAAAGTACTCCTTCATTATAAAGTACCCTGGTAGAATTGGTAGAATTATCATCCTATCAATTTATCTCACTTTGACTTAAGTTCTTGGAGGGATACTTCTGAATAGGAGCTTGGGTGTAGCTTGACTTAGTCCTCTGTTTTTAGGTGTAGAGTTTGAAGGCAGTAGTGAAGATCTTTAATTGAGAATTCAGTTTTGTTTTGCTCCTAATATGGTCAATTTTAGTCGTTTTTGTTAGGTTTTTTAAAATACAGCATATAAGGTTTTCTGTGTTATTTCTCGTTCTATAAATTACGAGGGGGCATTTGACATAATTGTGGGTAATTGTAATTTAGGGTAATAAAGCACAGTAGGTAAGACTGAGTAGGCTGAATTTGTCAGGGAAAGTCTAACAGAACTTGTAAAACGTGTTCATGTTACTTGTCTGATTTTGTTGCCAAATAGGATATTAGTTTAGACTTCAAACGTCAACCAAATTTCAGATGGTTATGCAAAAAGTTTATGGAGCTCAAAGGGTCACGGACAGCTATTTTGTCAAAGGGATAAGCCAACAAATACTGATTTTTACTTCTATTAAATCTCATTAAAGTAAATGTGTCCTAAAATTTATGTCACTTGAAATAACTGAATTAAACACAAAGTATGTTTTTGTTCATGTATGATATAATGTACTGTATGCTTGGAATTGTTCAAAAATAAAACACTTTATGTTGTATTGTTTGCATTGATATTAATCTCTTGATCACAAATACATTATTGACTGCAAAGCAAATATACGTCTGGAAGGCACTAAATGCCAAAATACAAAGAAGTTAGCTTACCTTTTTTAAGTATCTTACATAATAAGAAACCAAATATCCCAAAAACTAAAGAAATTAGAAGCATGCCAACAATTCCACCGGCAATCATTGCAGCATCTGAAAATAAAAGATTTTACATGAGCTATTTTTGCCACATATATAAATATAAATATATATCTTTACATTTGTTTTCCAGACTAAATCAAGCTAGACAAATTTACTTTTAAGATGTTTTTGATTTGCTTGTTTAACCAGTCATTTAAGGCGGTAGATTCTATATTATACCAAGAAAACCCCATGGCACTGTATTCAGTGTTTGCTTTAATAATGAATATAATGTGCTCAGATAATTTTTACAGCAGCACAAGAAATGAATTTGGCTCCAGCTTTGGACTAAAGCTACAGTATGTTCCAAAAGGTCACATTGCAATAAGTTAAATTTAAATTATGACTTAGATGTATTGAAAATGAAAAATATTACTTTTTATCTAAACAGACTTGCATTTGTACATCTGGGTATTTTATTGAAACACTTACTTTGATCTAGTCATGAGAACAAATTGATCTCTTACAATCTAAAACTTAAATCATTAAAGATTTCAAAATCATATTTTATGATTTTCATACTGTTTAAGCTTTTGAATATTTTAATAGTTAAATCACTTCAAGCTGAAAAGGGCTTTAGTTTATATTCAAAGAAGCACTGGAAATTGAAAATGTGTTCACCTGCAGTAAGACAAAATGTCAAGAATTCCCACATCTATTATTTACATTACTCTTGCTCAATAATTAAGGAAACAAGAGCTCCAGTGATTCGTTAATACCTAGTTACAATAATAAGGTCATGGCACACGTCACCTTTCATTTGGTATACCAACAAATCAAATGTACTAGAAAAATGTCAAAGTCCAGGAATGAAAACTTAGCTTCACATTGATTATTCTGAGAGACATAAGAATTATTATTGGAACCAATATTACCTGCTACATTATATTTTTAGTGGCTGTTATATACTGATGGAAGAAAGAAACGCAACACCTCCTCCTCCACACTCTGGCCCTCCCGTCAGCATGGAACAGGCTGAAGTCACTCATCCGTGAAGAGGACCTGATGCCACTGCTGACAAGTCCATCACAGCATCTGTCTGGCCCAAGCCAGTCAGGTGTTACATCTACAGTAGGAGGTGTGAGCAGAGGGCCTCTGACAGGTCGCCTTGCTCTAAGACCAGCAGCATGGAGCCTGACTGTCCTATCACTGATGCAAGCACTGTGTCTGCCGGCAGTTTTTGCAGCAGTATGGATGGCAGATCTGAAACGACTGCTCAGATGGACCAGTTTGATGTGTCGGTTCTGCTCTGGTGTGGTCACTCAAGGGCGACTGGACCTTGAACAGTCTTCTGTCCTGCCGGTCTGCTGAAACCTGCTCTGCAGTCAGGACACAGTGGAGCCGCTTACTCCAAAGTGACTGGCAACGCTGGCACATGACATGCCTGCCTGCAGCATGCTAATGGCCATCTCCCTTGCTTCTGGTGACATTCGAGGCATTATGGAATGCACAGAAAACTGACTAAGTGTGGCCTTTTTCTTGCAGTGACCTAAGCTTTGCATTAAGGCCTTTTTAAAGGTGACCTGATCAGGCATTGTTCCACCTGGACCTCTTTGGGTAAAAGTGCACCTAACAAACTTTCATGTAATTGGCAAGTTGCATGCCTCACTGCAAAAGCGGTATTGCTGGTCAGAGGGTGTAAAACAAATTAACAACTTTTTGTGAAAGTACATAAGTTATAACTATAGTAGTCTCATTCCAGAAAATGTTGCGTTTCTTTTTTCCATCAGTATATTTTACAGCACAGGTGCTAACTGAATGTACCAAAAAGAAATGATATTCACTATCAGGTCGCTGCAAGAGCTGCAAGAAGTGTGGTTTAATTCCCCACTGTAATTGCATACACTATTGCAGATAAGACTTTGTCGTGTGTGGCTCAGTATGATACAATAGATGATTCAAGGACACAACAAAAACCCTGGCTATTTTCAATAAATAACCTCCTTCAACTAGAAACACACCAATAATTCTACCGGCAATATATGAAATTCCAACACTTGTGTGGGCTCATGATGAAATATTCAACACTGTGATTTAATTATTTAAATTTATGTTATTCAATATTCAATAATATTCAAAAAGTTACCAAGCAACTTTTGTGAGAGGTCTTGTTGCCTTACTTATTATTTGAAACTTTCTTGCATCATTTTAATTACCATTTTACATAAAATATACTTACTAGATGAGCATTGTTTGAAGCACTTTTTGGCAGGAAATGGCTCACTTCTCTTCTCACTCAAAGGATTACTGACAATGCAAATGTACTCTGTGTCCTGGCAGTCCTCAGTGTTGATCAACAGCATTCTTGGAGAAAGCAGCTGCATTTTAGATCCTTCCCATCTGTATTCAGTGTAAGGGCTTGTTTCTCCAGTACATTGAAGAATTGCAGTGGTATCACTGGCATTACAAGTTACACTTGCTTGTGTTACAGGCCCTAAAGTAAAGGAACACAAATATGAAATACCATATCTCTGCAGGAGATATATATTAATTCTAATTACAGGCTCAATTTTCTTTGTGGTCAGTCTCCCAATATAATTAATTTGATACAGAGTGGCCAATTCTCACAGTGTGTGCACAGAGAATATCTATGTTTATATACAAGCAACTAAAAATAAAAAATAATATGATTTAATGTAATAAAAATCTAAGCACTGAGCTTCAGCATAGCCTGTTGCAGAGTATATCAGAATATTAAGTTCTGATGTATGAACTATAAACATCCATGTAAACTATAAAATAAACTTTAAATTTCTTCTGGTGTGCTGCTGAAGGATACAGATGTCATTTTTAGTGGTTTGCTGTCCTGGTCCTGGAGGACAGCTGTCTTCTATTTTTTTCCTTCAGGTGAGTTTCAGGCTAGTTGATGATTTATCTGGCATTTTTTTTCTTTCAGCTCTTAAAATGTTTAATCAAATTTATTGGTAGCAATATTAGTAATTTTTGAGTTTCAGAGCTATATTCAGGCAGGTGTTACCTAAAAGTTAACCAATTGGACTACAACAAAGGTATATTCTAAAAGGCTGGTATTGCAATAAGTATAGAGCATTTTAAATTTTAGTTTAGATGCATTAAAAGCTAAAATTATTTTTTTTTATCTAAAGTGATAAGCATTTATACAGTACATCTTGGTATCTTAGTGAAGAATATTGAATGAAATAACTTGATCAAGATAGTCATGAGACCAGCTTCATCTTTTGGCACAACCAGTATATCATTAAAGTATTTTATATATATATTTCAAAAAATATTTTGTGATTCACATTTATATAGTAAATTATATAGTAGTATATTTTGAGTATATTTAATAGTTAAATCAGTTTAAGTTGATTTACTCATTTACAGATGCATTCAAGGAAACACTGGAAATTTGGAAATATATTTACCTGCCGTGAGACAAAATGTCAGGAATTCCCACATCTATTTAAAGTTGTGAGAAAACCTTTTATACATAGACAGTGAATGTATAAACAATGTGGTCAAGGCTTTGTAGTGTGTGGCTTGTTATAAGTACATTCCTATAGATGATTCAGGGACACAAACAACCCAGGCTATTTTTGATAAACAACCTCCTTCAACTAGCATACCAATAATTCCACCGGAAATGCATTAAATTCCAACATCTGAAAAAAATATTTTTAAATAAGTTTTCTTTGTCACCAATAGAAATAAATACCATTACTTTTCTTTGTTCCTCAGACCTAATCAAGCTTGTCTGATCAGGTGGCTACCTTACTTGTTTGTAGAAAGGTAGCCACCTTTTGACAGAAGTAAAAACTACCTATCTTGTGGGATTGCATGTCACATTATCATTCCCACCTATCTGTTCATCGTACATTGGTCTTGCAGCAGTAAACCACAGTTTGAAATAGATCAGTTAAAGGTGTCAAGATAGCATGTGCTTTAGAACTCAGGTGGAACAAAATCCCTCAGACATGCAGTAGTTGTCCCCAAGGACCTGGGATGGGAACCACTATTATTTAGCAAACAGCAGTTTTTTTATTAAAATAACTTTTAATTCTAACTAGATCATAAAGATGGGTGTTTTCTGTCACTGCAATGGAAAGTTGTTTAGGAAATTATTTTTTTATGTACAAAATCAAACTTAAACATCTCAACAAACCATATTAAAATTTCAACAGATAAAATAAATACAGTCCTTTAAATACTAGTTAGATATGATTTCCATTATGAAACAGGAAAGTGAAGGTGAACTAAACTGGAAGGAGACCATTCAGATGAGAAACCTGGCTATCCAGGAGAGTTTTAGAGTAGAATTACTTCTTCACTAGATCAACAAAAGCCAGCGGAGTTGGTTTGCTCATCTTACAAGGATGTCCACTGCAAGGCTTTGTTTGGAGTTACTATTGGACATGTCCCCCTGGGCAGGAATATTAAGGCAGCCCTAGGCCATTCTGGAGGGACTATATCTCTCAACCAGGCTGGTAATGTTTTGGAATCTCCTAGGAGAAGCTATAATTTCATATGTAGGAACAAAGTTGCCTGGTCCTAGTTCTATCACAACAGGATTGAGCAGATTGAAAAAGTGTAATGAGTGTAAAAATAAGCAAACAATGTGGGAGTTTTAGTATGGCTGGATGACAATCAGTAAACAAATAATACTGTGGTATGTCAAGATAGAAAATCTACATATAAAATGCCTTAAGTTCATTATGTCAGTTAATACATTGGAAGAATAAGTACTGTACTGGTACTGTAAATTTTACTTTGGTAACTTGTAAAAATATTTTATCACAAAAACATTTACTTACCTATAACTTGCACATTATATATAAGCTCATTTAGCTTGGCACCTGTCAGCAATTCTGCCTTGTAGTGTCCACTGTCCTGATATCTGAGTTTCTTGATTATGAGCGTTCCATTTTCCTGGTACAGACTCGTCCTCTCTGCGTATTCCCCATAGTATCTTGGTTTTCCTTTTTTTTCATACTCTACAATCTTATCATCTTGGTATTTCCAAAGGATTTCATCAAAAATGTGGTTTTCTGCAGTCAATTCTATTATTCCATTTAATAAACCAAATTTTATCTCTAGCAAGATAAAGAAAAAAATACAATGAGCAAATTATTGTAAACCGGTAAAAAATGTTGTACTCTTATATATCACCAATTAAAAATTGGTGTTGAAAGTGGGTGTAAAAAGTGTAGAAAGTATTGACCTCCCTTGGACCTCTACCAAATTTCAGTGTACAGTATTACAATTGTTTTGTACAACAAAACATAATGACTGGGGCACTCAAGGAATTCCAATTTCTTTTGTTAAAACTACACAAGGGTTGCTTTGACTTTGTGTTTGGGGTCATTGTTTTATTAAACTATAAATCTCAATCCCAGTTTCAGATCTTTTGCAGACTGATCCAAGATTTACTCAAGGAATTGCCTATATTTTTCTCCATCCAATCTACCCTCCATTTTGACAAGCCTACCATTCCCTTCCGATTAAAAGTAACCCCACAATATTATGCTACCACTGCCATGCTTCAAAATTGAGATGGTATTTTGTGAGTGATAAAGCAGTGCTCTTCTTTCACCAGATATAATGCTGGCCACATTGTGGCCACATAGTTTCAACTCCCCCACCACTCTGAACCGGAAGAAGAGGTTAGAAAATGAATGTATGGCATTGGAGGGCCCAGACATTGACTAACTCCCTGTTAGTAGGGTCCTTGTACATTATTTCCATTCCTGGAATAAAATAATTAATTTAGGAATCAGAAAACCAGGGCAAAGCTGGATGAACCATGGTGTTTAAACAACTTCTTCACCCTTAGACCACACCCTGCTTTTGCCTTGTCTGTAAACCTTATGATGAAAAAGCAAACTGTGCTTCTCACTTCTAACCAATGACAAGTTACTTACCAGGTGAGAATTGAATAGTCAGAACTCTCTTTGCTGCCGACTGCTTCATCTGTTCCCTGGTCTAACAAATAATCTTTAGACTGGTCTGACTATGAATAGATTGACTCCATGACTAGATGACTGGATGTCTTGAGATCTCAGGGGCTGCAGCATAACAGATGTACAATATTTCATATTGAAGCACTGTATGTCCAAGAATAATGTCTTATGTTACATAACTCTTGGATAATAGAGATAACACTTTGAAAAGGATTTATGGTACGTTTGAAGGATTAAAACCTTAATACATCCTTAAGACTTACAGACAAAGAATGTAAGTAGAATGTAAATTATTTGCTTTTTATGTTTGTTCAAAGCAGGATCCTTAGTCAATGTATTTTCCACAAACTATTCCTCCTTTATATAATCTACCTAATTAACTTTCATCCTATTTTGGTGTTATGAAAATTGTTGTACACAAACATTTTTCATACTGTACAGAATATTTCTCATATGCATATAATATACAGTATATATATTATATACCTGTACAGTATATAACAAAAGCAAATGAAGTGTGTGGTTGGACCCTGGATTTGATTTGAGGCAACTGCAAAGAAAGACTGGTCTCATGTTGTAGGAAGTTTTACTGTACTGTACATGTTCTTGTTGAGAAACCTGGGGAGTGTTGTCATTTTATGAGCATCAACATTAAATCAGTGATTTGGGAAATAAGATGTTTTTTTCTTCCCCACCATGTTCTTAAATAGGAAATTCTAGCTTCTACAATAAAATTATATTTGAAAATAATGTGTGATACATTGGGTGTAGAATGTACTGTATTTTGCCACATTTTGTTGTGTTATAACTGGAAGACCAGATAAACTGTCATCCCCAAGGAAGCACAGGTGATTGGTCCTGCATACACACGCAACACAGCACACCTCCCAGCGTTGTTAGAATATGCTCAGGTAGACTGCGATTTTACTTCATAGCTTCCTTACTCCATCTTTCTTTTTTCCTCCATAGTTTTGCGCTTACTTAATTATATTCAGATTTTTCTTTGTTCTTTGCAACTACCACTCTGCAACCGTGAGTATTGGGTTACTTTTGTGTCTTTCTTTTTCTTTTTGTCTTCCTTTTTCACTTTTGTTGTGGTGTTCCCCACCTCGCTGTTGCCTGTGACCTGCTTGTGAGCTGTTAGTCAGACTACGCTTTGTTCACCTTGCTGCATCATTACAGAATGACTAAGCCACAGAAGGAGAGCTCAGTGGAGGCCAGTGAGTTATCCCAGCTCCCAGCACAGCATGAGGTGGCGCTTCAGGTACACAATCAACACAGTCTTCCTGGCCTTCAGAGTGAGTCGGCTCTTCCTACAGGGAATAAGGACCCTACATCCCCTCTTGCTTCCGCTCCTGATGCCAACACTGCATTATACTAACAAGACTCACATCTTCGGCCCCCTCAACCTTATTCAGGTGATGCACAGGGGTGCAAAAGTTTTGACACAACACCAAATAATTTTTGCTGCCCAACCGTCTTCTTTTCCTAATGTTCAGCCAAAGGTGGTTTACATCATTTCACAACTTTCAGGTGAAGCCTTGGCCTGGGCCCCTGCCTTGTGCCAGAAAAAAGACCCCGCCAATTTTGACCTTAAGCTTTTTCTCAAGAAATGTATTAAATGTATTTTTAAGTATTACATGCAGAAAACAATGTATTCAACAAAATTTTTTTTATTAAAATTTAAACAGCAACCAATTATATATGTGCATGTGTGTTTTTTTCGAGACCTGAACCTGAAGGTCATACGCAACCCGAAGGTAATAGAACAATACTCAACTAGTAATAAACTAGATGTTGGATATATCAGAGCTTCCAGCATATTTACAGAAATAACATATATTTTGCTACTTACGATAACCCTTATTAATTTAAAGAACGTATTAATAAACGTGTTTGCGGTTTGCACAAGTACTTTGTGTGTACTTGTGTCTATCACAGGAAGAACGTGATTAAAAGTATCTGATATAAAACCATCGAAAATTGTACTTACCTGCTTTGGCATTGGAGAAAGCAATTATGGTGATTAATAGGTATTTCATAATCATTGTTATAACTGGAATTAGAGTTTTTCCACCTATAAATAGGATAGGTTAAAATAAAGTAAAAAAGTGAAAGTGAAAGAACTTCCTAAAGGCAACTCCCTATTCCTGGAATTATCATTCCTACTGCATGGGACGGCAGAGGATAAAGTACCGATTGACAGTGCGATAAGCCAATCAGGGTTGTAGATGTTGTTTTTTAGACAGTTGTCGAGATGTTTGATTAGCTTAATTTAATTTAAGCTAATATACTATATATAAACATATTTTACTCTCTCTCAACAGGGACCTGGATGAACCATAAAGATATTATTAAAGAAAACGCAACACAAATTCTGAATTTCAAATACACAGTACACAGTGGCATTTTTACGTCCGTGCATACATTTCTAATTTGTCTAAAATTAAACAAATACACATCTTGGAAAGAAGAAAATATAAAGCAGAGCTCTCTATGGATTTTAGAGAAAAAAACACAGAGGATAACATAGACAACCAATGCAATCCGTCAGTGTGAACTCCAATGGAAAACTAATGAATGACAAGTACAGTATATACATAAATAGACGTACTGCTCGCACACAAACAGCCGAGTTTGTACGGATGTATTTGTAGGGTCTTCCTATTGATTCTCACTCTGTTTTTATTCACGATTGTACTTAACTGCAATAAAATTCTACAAGGACTGAATTACGTACAAAATAAACTTTGGAACTTTCAGATTTGAAATAATATTGTAGCGCCCTCGCCTGGCGTTGCGGCTGAAGAGCGCCCGGCTGGGGTGCGCGGCGAGGGGCAGGACAGTAGATAGATAGTACTACTACTACTAATGTTTCTTTATTAGCCCTATACAATTTATTGCATTAGGAATTCGTCTTTTCACATACCCCAGCTTTTCTCCATGGAGACACAGACAGGGAGAGAAGCTTGGGGTCAGAATACAGGGTCTGCCATTGTACAGTGCCCCTGAAGCAGTTAGGGTTAAGGGCCTTGCTCAGGGGCCCAACGGAGTAAAATTCCTCTGCCACCTGTGGGATTTGAACTGGCAACCTTCCAGTCTCAGACGCAGATCATTAACCACAGAGCCACCACTCTGCCCCACTGTACTGTACTTTATTGATCCCGTGAGGGAAATTGCTGTGCAACAGCAGCTTAGACAACACAGCAACAGTGTAACAAATAATACAATAATAATAATACAATACAATCAGTACAGTGAGAAGTGCACTAAGAAGAGTTACTCACAATCCAGAACACACAAAGAACAAAACAGAACAGAACAGTACACAAAAAAAATCGTATTGCACAATAGAAATAGAAATGTATTGCACAGGTCCCTGGCATATATTGCACAAAAACGGTTGTAAACGGGAAAAAGAAAAAGAACAGATCAGTTTACTGTTCAGTCCAGAAACAGGTCACTGTCAATGTTGCCTTTGCCCTGACGCAAGGTGGATGCGTTGTACAGTCTTATGGCAGAAGGCAAGAATGACCTCCTGTAGCACTCCCTGTCGCACCGTGGATGAATCAGTCTTTTGCTGAAGGTGCTCTTCATTCCTACAAGCATGTCATAGAGGGGATGGGAGACGTTGACCATGATGGCCTCTAGTTTGGAAACCATTCTCCTCTCAGCCACTACTTCCGGGGCGGACATACTGGGCCCGTTTCCACACACTGAGGCGGGCAACTGCTGCGTCCTGGTGGCGGTGGATTACCTTATGAAGCTTACGCCCTCCCAGATCAGAGCGCATCCACCATACCTGAAGTCCTGTTGGAGGGAATGTTTGCCAGGCTGGGGGTGCCGGAGGAACTCCATAGCGATCAGGGGGGTAATTTCGAGTCCCAGGTATTTGCGGGGGTGTGCCAGCGCCTGGAATTAAGAAAAGGCAGACCATCCCGCTGCATCCCCAGAGCGACGAGTTGGTGGAGCGTTTTAATCGGACGCTCTCCACTCAGATGGCCACCCTGGTCTCGCAGCACCACCAGGATTGGGACCACCACTTATCCCTCGCCCTCTGGGTGTACTGGACTGCTGTGCAGGAGTTCACCGGGTGCACCCCTGCCTCGCTCATGCTGGGCTGGGAGCTGCGTACCCTGGTGGATCTGGCATTCGGTTCGCCGCCTGGGGGAGAGCCGGCATAGCCAGCTAGGCCGGATTATGAGTGGGATCTGCAGCAGCGAATGCTGCAAGTGCACAGTGTTGCCTGAAGCCACCTGACTCAGGCCGGGGTGCAGCAGAAGTGGTGATATGATCTGCGCTGCAGGGGGACTCCCTTCAGGCCAGGGGACCTTGTCTGGGTTTACAACCTGCGGCATCGCAAGGGCTTCAGTCTGAAGCTGGTGCCAGCCTGGGAGGGACCAGGGGAGGTCCTGGAGGCCGTGGGGGAAGTCTGCTACCGTGTCCAGTTCGGGAAGCGAGGAAGGGTGGTGCATCCTGCATCAAGACCACCTGGCTCCCTTCAGGGCTCGTGACGGGGTGCTGGAACGGGAGGGCGCAGAGGAGCCCAGAGAGCAGCCAGGTCCAGATTGCACAGGCCTGGGGGAGGCGAGACTGGAAGCTTCAGACTCCACCTTGACACCGGGTGCCGTGGAGGCTGGATGAGTTTGTACATCCACTACACTACAATATGTTTTTTGGTTTGCAAAAAAATATTTTATATTATGAGCCAGCATAACCAGCATGCTTGTCAGGAGATATTTTCATTGTATGGACATTTTCTCACATTTTGTTCCCATGTACCACACACTACACGTGCCTACCGGGACTGAGTAAAATCCAAAATCCAGGTCTAAGGGTTTATAGTTCTGATAGGTACAGGTGAATGTAATTGAAATACAATAGTTTTGTACTGAGGCACATCTCCAACAACAGTGATTCAGCAGGTAAGAAAGATATTTACACTGTTGGATTATTATTGTAGAGGGGTTGAAAATTTTCCTGAGTCTATTACTGTTACATATGGGGATAGAGAGGTGTCTCTAAGATAAGAGGAGTGTAAATTTACAATGGACAGGATGAGCCTCACATTCCATAATCCTCTTTGCTGTCTTTAGTACCTTCTTTTGTGTGCTCTTTTTGTATAAGGGAGAAAACTCTTAAGGAAAGACAGAAATGATGCAGAGAGATGCTTAGCAGTTCAATATTACAGTACAGTAAGTGTACTGTACACACATTTTCATATGTGATAATATTGTGGTACCAATGGTTATTTACTATTAGATAGATCACTTCATCATAGTGTTTGCTTATGTTTTATTTTCTCTGTGTCCAGCCAGTGTAGTGAAAATCCCTCATGCAAATTATCAATAAATGTCAGTTTTAGAGAAGCGTCATTAATACAAATTTCAGGACTGATGTATATTGTAGCAAATTCAGGTTCAGACAAGAAAAAAAAACAGACAATGTGCAAGTGTGGTATACAAGCACCTTTTATTAAACCTCTGTCAGTCAGCTATGAGCAATAAAAACAAACTAACTCAGGGTTCACTCATACACTGAGTTAGGGAAGTAAATGGGATACATACGCAAGTTCAGGGTAGTTACACATTAAGGGACAATAACAGACAATAACACAGGTAAGCACTAAACGGCTATTTACACAGCTAATTAGGACTATTTACATTAGCAGAGTGACCCACCGACTCGGCCGCCCTAGCTGCTCGCCGGGCTTCTCTGGGGCTTCCCCACCAGGCGTCTCTATTTGAGCCGAATAGGGTGCCAAGTGGTCCCGGTGCAGGACCACCACACTCCCCTGCTTTCGCAACTGGACCCTGTAGCAGACCTCGCCCACTGCCCCCAGAACCTTGTTGGGCCCATCCCATGACTGTGCCAGCTTAGGGCTGAGGCCCTTGCAGCAGCGCGGGCTGTAGACCCAGACTGGGTCCCCAGGCTGCTAGGAAGGTCCCCTGCAGCACAGGTCGTAATACTGCTTCTGCTGGACTCCCGCCTGTGTCAGGCGGGTCCAGGCAAAGCTGTGTATCCGACACATTTGCTGCTGCAGTTCCCACTCATAGTCTGGTCCAGCTGGCAGCACCTCCAGCAAGATGGCCTTGAGAAAAGCCTAGAGGGCCATCTCCAGCTGTGCATCCTCAGAAAAGGAAGGGTAGCCTCAGCAGGCGAGGTACATGACATCAGCGGCAACAGAGCCCAGTCGTTCTCCTGTTGGCATCACCACCGCAGGGCCAGCCTCTCCCGCATCACCTCTGGTGGCTCCTCCACCCCAAAGCGCAACCAGAGAGCTGCTGCCGGCATCACATAGTCTCGCCGTCTGCCCTGCATGCAGACACAGCTACAGTACCTACTTGAAATACTGTATATACATTAAGTATACAAAACATTAGGGGATAAAGATGGATTTTTAATGTGCGAGACAACTGAGACATGGATTGTACAGTATATGTGAAGGAGAATGTGAAGAAAAAAATGTGCCTTTGAATGAAGTATGATAGTAGGTGCCAGGTGCGTTGGTTTGAGTGTGTCAAGGACTAGAGCGCTGCTGTTTGTCAACTGACAGTCCAGTACAATATTGGTGCCAAAAGACCCATAAAAGAATGCACAACTTGTTGCACCTTAATACGAATGGGGTAGGGCACCAACGACCTTACAGAGTTCCACTAATTTCAGCAAAAAACAAGAACCAGTGGTTGCAGTGGGCTAAGAAATGAAAACATTGGACACTGGCTGGTCTGATGAATCTTATGAGGTGCCATTTAGGCCATTGCTCAAACTTTACCTCTCATACACAAATTGCTCTCACATACACACAAAATGCTCTCACACTCTCCATTTTACCTCTCACGTAAACATAAAAGGCTCTCACATGCACTAGTTTTATCTCTCACATACACACAAAATGCATTTTATGTGTATGTGAGAGGTAAAACTAATGAATGTGTGAGCGTTTTGTGTGTGTATATGAGAGGTAAAATGGAGAGTGTGAGAGGATTTTATGTGTATGTGAGAGGTGAATTATGGCCCAATGTAGGCAGTCCGTCTAAATGGCACAATATGATTGGCTGTGAAAATTTAGCAACAAGCTTTCTCATTTTCTGCTGCCCTCCAAGATGGAGGAAAGAAATCAACCTCAACCACAACAAGCACTAAGCCAAGCTATAGCTTTAATTAATAACATCTTAGCCACACCAGAAGCAATATCTTCATTGTCATTGGCTATGACACCTGCGATGAGTGCACAACAATGCCCCATGCCACAAGGCTAAGTTTGTCCATCTTAATGCCATGGCCTACCCAGTCACCAGATCTCAATCCCATTGATCATCTGTGGGATGAGATGGAATGAGCTATTCGGAGTATAGGTCTACTACCAGTCAGCATGGGCTAGCATCCCTGTGTAATGGTTTTGACACCTTGTTAAGTCTGTGTCCCAATGAATTGTTCTCAGGGCTGTTCTCAGGGCAACAGGTACAACACTATATTAGGAAGGCATCCCTAATGTTTTGTACACTCAGTGTACATTAAATACAGTATGATAATGTATGGCCTCAATTACATAAATTTGGTATAAAATCTAAAGTAAAAATATCTCTTTCCTATTTACTTGTTACTTAAATAATCATTTACAAAATATAGATTATTTTAATGCCTATCTAAACCTGAAAAAATACTAAGACTGAATAATTTTGCTTTGTGAAACAGCTCTACTTTTACTTTTCATTTTAATTTTATTTTTTATCAATGTAACATTCTATATACTGTGATATATAAAACTAATAATATCAATATGGTACGCAAATTAAATTATATTATTGAAAAAAGATTATTCCCAAGGAGCTAGGAATCTAGAATATGGGCAGCAGCCCAGAATTCTACTGTTAGACACACGGCACAAGGATTCACTGTGCCACCTGGCAATTTTACAGAGTAATGCAGTCTTGCATCAGATTTCTGAAAGAATAAAAAGGCATTGGGCATACACATACTTTATGTGCCGTAGTGTTGTAGTGTAACTATTGTATATTGTGATATTTGTGGATACATATTTGTTAGTATGTTAGGACTGATGCCATTAGTTTAGCATTATTCTACCTCCAAATTTACTACATCAATAAAATTCTTATATATGATGTTTCTGTGGTATGCCTGATTATTGATTTTATGCCAATACTAAAAGCATGAGGAATAACATGAAATATGCTTGATTATGTACCAAAGTAGCATCTTTGTTCTAAAGGCATTTGGCTACTTCCAGCCAATAGCCGTGGAGTTCTGACTGCTGTCATTTTCAAATGGAAACGCATTCTGTATCTAGACTGCTTACATGGTGTAGACTCTCATGTGATAGGCTTGCTGCAGAGGCTTATTAGTGACATTCCCCAGAAGGAGAGTGGATACCCTATAACGTGGGACGACTGGGCAATCTATGTGCCAACAGATCTTCCACTTCAAAGAAACAGTTTTACCTGTGGAGCTCATGCTTGTCTGTCCACTTATATAATTTGTTCTGCTACATCTCCTGACTTCTCAGACAAAGACATAGCAAAACGCAGAGCATGATTTGCACACAAAATTCTAAAATATGATGGGGAAACAAATAGAGAAATACTCCCAATTGCTAAAGTGTGTGAAAAAAGAAGGGACAAGTCTTTCAGTACCAAAGCTTCAAATCAAAACCACTCTGGGTTACTTTCCAATAACATCAAGGATGAAAACAGGAATGATGTTTTTATTTTATAGAGAATGTAAAACCTCACAAACCTACAGGAAAATGAAAAGTCTAAGCAATACAATATTAATGTAAATGAAAACCACTTACAGACTCATATTTTTTAAATACTTTAATCTGAGCACAATAGATAACTTATTGTACATTCTCAGAAGCACAGTTGATACTGTATGTTTGAAAATGTGTTTTTCACTGAAACCAATCAGTCTGCAGTCACCACTAGGTAATATAGAGGGCACTATCAGTGTGGAGTTTGCATGTTTTCCCTGTGTCCATGTTTCCTCCAGGTGCTCCAATTCCCTTCCACCGTCCAAAGACATGCTCGTAGGTTAAGTGGCTTCTGTAAAATTGAACATTTGCATTTGTGTCTGTGTGTGCCCTGCATTGGACTGGCATTCTTTCCATGCTGTATCTCGCCTTGCACCCAGTGCTCCCGGGAATTGGCTCTAGTCTAGACTCATCATGACCCTGAATTGGAAAAGCGGTTGTTTTTTAATGTGGTGTGATGGTAACTTATCTTAAGTTATTTCAAATATAATTTTCTACCTGTGGAATTAAATACTATTTTGAGAATTTTTGAAAGATTTGGAATCACAAATACACAATTAAAAATGTTGTGTTCTTTAGTTAATCAACGATGTCATATGCTGTACTGTTTGCATTGCATTGCATTATTTTTCTAAACCTGAATGTTATCGACTAGTAATCAGTTCCATTGCAGATTTTATAATATATTTTTACATTTATAAACAAAAGGAATGCTTTTCTTTTGCTCTAAGAGCTGACTGTACTTGCCAGTAGCAGGTTTCGTTTTGAAAGTTACTTTTGAAACAATATAATTCCAGAACATGTAAGAATATCCCGGTGGAGTTAACAGGTACAGTACTAAGCTCTCGCCGTGTACTAAAGGTGGCGTCTGGTTTGATTGAGTTCTGCTTTCTCTTGTATTTGCATGTGGTGCTAAATTTGATCCTCCTTGGCGCCGGTCATTTGTCCGTTTTTTTTTTCACATGTAGTGAAAGCAACGATCTAAAAATGTAAATAATAACATATAGGAAAGGAATACTGTCTTGATATCCGAAAAGAGGTTGTATGTATCCGTTTGTTTAGCTATAAAGATTGTATCTATATATTAGAGAAAAAAAAAGAAAAAAAGAGCACTTGACGCAAAGCATTGTTTACAGTTACTGTAACTAATAACGACGCACCAAGCGCAAGTGCAGTGCAGTGGTACGAATACTTGAAAAACAGCAAAAAAACATAGCTAAAGCAGGAAATGAAATGAAAATGTGTATCGAAAAGGGGGAAGTATAAAGGTAAGAAATCTATTCTTAACCATCAAATATGATTTAATGTACTGTATATACAGTATAGTGCATGCTTTATTTGGTTAAGCACTAGACAGAAATAAGACGTATTAATGTGGGCCAATTTGCAGAACCATGTATTGATATCCGGAATAACTTAAAATTATTTTGCTTCGAAATTTATACTTTTAGAATTACAACTTTTTTTAAGTTTTAAACAACTCATGAGTGTAGTTATGCAGTAGACTAATGTCCATAAACTTTTTTCGTTTCGTTTTTTCGTTTTTAATGAATACTGGTCACTCAACTCTGTAATTGGAGAAAACATCTCCAACATTTGGATATACATATACATTATTGAACATTTAAACCAAAAAAATTCAGTCCTATATACAGTATGTCAGTGGACAATGTTTGATTTAAAAGGTTAAGTTCACATTTTTTACTAAATGCAGTATGTCTTTGTGCTCTGTTTTGGGAAGCATTTTTTAGAGTGGTTTCTACAGTTATGGGAAGAGTATAGGTGACAGTCATACATTTTATGTCACAAATATTATTTTACGTATTTAGAATCAGGCCTATACATTTTGAAAGACGTGGAGCAATGTAGAATGTACAGTAGATTGGAGTTCACATCTAGTAACTCCTGGTACAAGAGAATTACCAGGTGCTGTAAATTTTTTTTACAAAAATTTGTTTTGGCAAGAAGATGCTGTTCTCTCTAAAATTTGATGGATTTGACTCTCCAGGGTTGTGTATTCCCATTGTAGATGTTGAAAGATTTCTCTGAATACTGTAACAGGAACCGGTCCAGGCTCCCGTGAAGCATAGTTCAGGACCCTATGCAGATGATACAATCCGGAAGTAAGTGGAGAAGGACATTAGAGGAAGGTACAGTGGGATAGGATGGGTAGACAGACAAGGGGGCGTGGCAATGGTGATCCGGTGATCCAGTGCTCGGGGGGCGGCAAAGGCAAACAGATCCAGACAGTCCAAAAAGGGTGAATACGGGGCACAGTCGAAAGTCCAAAACCCAGGGGATCCAGCTAAAAAGGGACAAACAGTTTAAATCCAGAGCAAGATCCGGAACAGTGACAGGGAATAAAACCAAAGTAACGAGGCCAGACACACTCAGATGGTCAGGACGCCGTGATGAAGCCTATGCCATTGGGTCTCGCCTGGACCCACTGGTAGGCGGGCTTCTGGGCATCCATCTCCCAATGCTGAGCCAGGAATAGTGAGAGCACCAGGCTTAAATAATGGGACACAAAACAGGTGGCAGGCGCACATAATTAACTAAAATACAAAAGGGTCGGAGTGCCCTTAAGAGGAGGGACCTGATCGTGACAAATACAAGATCACAATTGCTATATACAGAAAAACCATTGAACAGAGCACAAGGAAAATTAAAATATCCTTAGCAATCTGTTTGAGTCAGCAAATCCTCCTGTTCTGGTTTAAATGAGATTCTGCAATTGCTCAGTTCATTGCTGGGCAATATTTTGTTACTTAACCACTAGACGTCGTGCTATGAAACGTTACCACCATTTAGTTTGTAGTTATCAGAAATTAAAGGAACATGGCAAATATTACATTTATGGTGGAGCTCATTTGCAGTGACAAGGTTGCTAATTGGAATGGAAATTACCAGCACACTGTAAATAGAAGGAAGACAAAAGTATGTTTATACAAACAATAATACAAATCAACAGGCTTACTTGTACAGTATTTTGTTTAGAGTGCATTACCTACACTCTATTGCCATTCTCATAACATATTGTAATAGAACTGATATTGCAAATAACTTGGCTTGTTTGTCAAAGATGATTAACTAATGATGAATAATTGTCACAAGATAATTCAGCAGGTTTCAAAATAAATTAATACATGCTGATAGGTATTAAAAACCCAAATCCTAAATCAAATCCTAATGATTTCAAAATTCAAGTATTGTGTCTTTATTTCCTATCACTCTATTTAACATGGAGGAACTGTTCATAAAAAAGAATTATAATACTTATCTAATTAATTAATTGTTCATTAATTGTCATCCACTGTGTTTGTTTTCAACTAATGGAGTCTTTATTAGCCTAAAGTAACAGGTTAACTGTTAAACAGTCCCTCCCCCAGTGAACATTCCCTTTTTGTATTCCACTTTCCTTTGGTAATGATGCAAGTTTTGCACAGATACTGTAACTGCAGTCTTACTGCAAGATAGCATTGTGTGAGTGTAAGTTGTGGTTGGAATTATATAGTATCATTTGCGTTTCAAACAGGATAGCATTATGAATTCAGCATGAAAAGGTAAACTACCTCCAGATCTCTTCTTTCTTCTTATTTTATTGAACTATTTCTTTGGTAGGTTGAGCCAATGTAATATTTTTCCAAGTCTTTAGGTGTAAAGTCACCTACAGTATAAAGTCTGCTGAACCGTTAAGGACTTTTTAGCAGTTGGCAGTCCCTTTTTTGCCCTTGTCTGAATGTTATTTTTCAGTTTTTGTAGTAAAGGTTTTCTTAAATTAGTCAATGGTAATTAACTGGTAATTTACTAGAAATCTTGATTAGGCTGTGGTAAGACTTTATTACAATTAGATGAGATAGTGTTGTCAGGTAAGTACATTTATACAAAGAATATTTATTACAGCAGCTTTACTACCTTGTAGCCTGATCTCATCAGATTACAAAAGCAAAATCAGGCTAAATAGTCAACAGTGGATTAAGACACATCTGTGGAGAACCAGGTTGCTGTTGGTGGACAAGTAGCGATTCTCTTCCCTCTGGATTAGAATTTCCAAAAAACAATGCCATAATATACTGTAATGACGGGGAACACTACACTATAGTAGTGTCTGTTATTTGGATGAGATGTTAAACTAAGGTCATGACAGCTTGGTCATTAAAGATCCAGTGGCATTGTTCGGAAACTGTTCAAACTGTTTGGAGACTTGGGTAGTTAACCACAGTTTCCTTGCTAAATTTATTTTAGGGCTTTTACAATCCCTACCTAAAATTCCACCTTTATTCAATTGGATAAATAATTTCTCACTGCTCCACCTGGTTTACTTTGTAATTGGGCTGCTACTGCATAATAAATACTGCTTGTAACCCAGGTCAGCATTGTATTTAATTGTTTTAAGCTTCATTATTACACTTAATAAAATAATGACTTAACTGTTGGAGATGACGTAGCTTATATCTACAGTACTGTAGATATACAGTACTTTTGCCTTTTCACCCCAAATGCTTAAAATCTCTCATATGCCAGAGCACCTTCTTTCAGCTCCTTTTCAACAGAAGGAGCTTTGCACAAAATTAATGTAAAGCCTCGAACTGTTATAATACTGGTTTAAAATGGTTAGATGAATGAGAAGTGCAGCTCTCAATGATGACATAACAGACTCAAACAGACGTGGTGAACTGCAGAGGCCTGGGAAGTCCAGCAGTGCTTTTCCAATTTTGTGCCACCATATACTGCAAAGAATTGTAATCACAGTTTTAAGAACACTTAAAATACTGGAGTATTTTATACTCCAGGCAGATGCCTTTTTTGCTTGTGTTGCAAACTTGATTTGAGAATGTATTCAGAGAATAAGTTGGAATGGGGTTTACAAATATTATTTTTATAAACCTGGGATTACCATTTTTCATTAAATCTAATTCATTCTATTTTTTCTTTCTCAGGTGTCATTGGAAAAATAAAATCCACTTGGGCTGAAAGATGAAGAGTAGACATTAATATTAAGACTGGAATTTCAGAAACCAAACAAAAAAGAATGTCTGCAGAAATACCAATGAATAAACATTATGTAAAGCAATGGTCTGTGGATTTACCATCTGAGTCTGAGGTAGACTCATACAAAAAGGAGGATGGTGACATGCCCAAACCAATGTCAGTAGAAAACCATTCCACAAACAACAACTTCACAAATGGAAACTGCAGTGCAATTAGCAACATGGATAACAAACACACACCACAAGATAAACAAGCAAGGAATCATGTATCGGAATCTTTGCATTTGCCTCATTTCCTGAATTCTGTTGTGGACCCTGAACAGCTTCAGGCTGGAACACCAAGCAGTGTTTTTGGTCATCAGACTGTTCATCAGGCATTGCTTTATAGAACCCTCCTTCAGGTTAGTAAATATGGACCATTAAGAATGAAGCTTTAATGATGGACCAGGAAGTAGGTTGATAAGCAGGATTAGGTGAAAAAGTACAAAAAATGTGAAAAATACTTACCCTTGGAACATATTATATAAAATATCCAAACTTTGTAGTGAAGAGTGTCAATCTATCCATTACAAACCTTTCTATATGTACAGTATATAACCTGTGAGACAAGGAGTTAACAAGTGAAGAAAAATAGCAATTGATAAGAGAGGGTTTTGACTCCACAATAGGAAAATGTATTCTGGGAAGTACATATTTGACACAGAGGATCAATTTAAACAAACAACTATTTGTGACAATGCAGCAAATTTCCCTTACTCTGTGTTCTGAAACCCATTAATCACACAAGTATTGCACATTATCTCTATGCAAAACTGCTGAATTAACCAACTTCATAACCTTAGAGTGAGCCTTGGGGAATGTTTCTAGCTGCACATTTTTCCTGCAGTAGTTTGTATTGCAAATACATTTTTAAGGATAGGAAGAATGTAGTGGAGAATTGCTATGAATTTATATTGGAATAAGAAAGAAAAAAAACACAGATACTCTCTGTAATTTATACACTAGCTGTTTAAAATACATTATTATTAGAAATTAGCTTTGTATTCCAGTAGATGGCAGGCCTTGATCAGTTTTGCTTCATGTTTAGGTTTTTATTACCTTAATGGTAATATTATAGTTGAAACTTGAAGATACTGGGACAGTTAGGGTAGTGTAACTGAATATAACCAGTAGCTACAGTATATCTCCCTGCAACTCAACTGGCAATCCACTGAAGCTAAGCAGGTGTGAGCCTTGCCAGTAGTTGGATGGGAAACCTCCTGGGAAATCTAAGGTTGCTGTGGAAGAGATGTTAGTGGGACGAGTAGAGAGCACTCACACTGCGGTCTGTGTGAGTCTTAATGCCCCAGTATAGTGATGGGGACACTATACTGCAAAAAAGGCAGTGTTCTTCAGATGAGATGTAAAACTGAGGTTGTCACTCTCCATGGTCATTAAAAATCCCAGGGAGCTTCTTGAAAAGAGTAGGAGTGTTACCCCGGTGTCCTGGCCAAACTTCCCCCTGGCCTTAATCAATCATGGCCTCCTAATAATCCCCATCCATCATTTGGCTCCATTACTCTGTTCTCCTTCCCTTGATAGCTATTGTGTGGCGAGTGTACAAGCACACTTTGGTTGCTATTGCATCATCCAGGGGGCTACACATGTTGGTGGTGGAGGGGAGTCCCCATATCTGTAAAGTGCTTTGAGTGTAGTGTCTAGTGTTACACAGCGGAAAACCAAGACTGGGGCGGACAGGTTTTGCAAACATCTGCTCTTTATTGTGCATATCTTAGAATTGCCATAGAATGGTAAAAAAAAACCAAAGCACTTACTGTACAGTAAGTGTCATAATGCAGTAACCCTAAACATTAGAAAAATAGCGTCATAAACACAAACAGATGCTGTGTGCGACATAACATTTAGAAAAGCAATACAGTGTATACTGTCTAAGGATAATTTCTTATTAATATACAACTGTGATTATGGATGCAACAACTGCAAACAAAGGCAAAAGGCTAGAAAAATATTTTATTTACTATTTAAAAATAATGGAACATACTTTTCCATGTTGAAGGAATCCTTTAGAATTAAATATCTGTGTTTATATTACTCTTTTGTGAACCAATACAATCAGAGTCCCCCTGGAGTCATTAATTTAATATATGATTGACTCTGAGTTAAATGTAGAATTTAGACAATGAATATGAATATGAATTATATTACAGTCATTATGAACTGCTTGATTCTGTCTGAAAAAAGAGCACTCTATTAAATCAAGAGAGCAAGGGTTTCTGTACTCTGAGCATGTCATTGGGTTTTTTCTACTTTGTTTTGATTTCTGTGTTCTTTAAATGTTTATTTTTGGGACAAAAGGTCTGTCCTAATAAGGGTTTACCATTTTTCCAATAGTAAGGGATTTTGTACTGAGCAATATTATAAATCTTTATCTAGTCAAGCTTCAAAAGTGTGACAGTAATACTGCATATTACTATAGGAAGATAAGGCATGTGCTGTTTTTCAAAGATAAAAGCAGAATGAACATATTCTCTCTTAGTCCTCTCTCCTTTACCAAGCATTTGACTAAAAGGGCCAGAATCCCAAGATTTGTGTGTCTCAATTGGTTTGCAGAGCCCTGCACAGCATGAACAATTAATTCAACTGCAGATGGAACACCTCCAGCGATTGGTACAGGAGCAAAACAGACTCATTTCACTCATGAACCCTGGTGAGTTGGACTTCATGCTGAATGAAATGGGTGTAATGTCCTAACATACAAAACCGTTAGCAGCACTGTACTAATTTAGAATGCCGCATCTACTTTAAACTTTTTGGATGAAGTTTGATTTGCACAGTTGATGCATAAATCCTTTGTCAGGGAAAAGGCTATACACATCCATCCATTTTCTAACCACAATTCAGGCTTCAGGAGCCAGATACTATCGCTGCAAACAATGGGTGCAGTGTAGGGATGGGACACCAGTCCATCACAGGGCAGATACACAGATACACACACTCACACCCACGTCAATTTTCCCGGAAGCCAATTAAGTGTTTGGGCTGTTGGAAGAGGCCCACGTGAAATACATTGAGAAGATACAGTACATACTCAAAACAGATATAGTAGCAGCCAATGTCTAAAAATGAACTCAGGGCCCCAGTACTGCAAGGCAACAGTTTTAATCACTGTATTCTCCTGCTGTTATGGCTGTACATGTACTATAAAAATATAATATATAAGATAAAAAGAAGGTGAAATATTATACTGTTTGGGAGAACAAATATGAGTTAATGATACATAGCTCTGTGGATCAGATAGTTTTGGAGGGTTGCCTGAACTTCCAGTCAATCATGTATATGTTCTGGGGAAATAGCACATGTGACTAAACCCTGTTGTAAGCACTTTCTAATGCAAGACCCGTACCTTGTGACCTAGACATTACTGAAACACCAAAGAAAGGAATAAGACAGACCTTGTGATCTAGTCGTAATCACCACACTAACCCTTAAATGACTGTGTCCTCTGAAAACATGGCCAGATTATTGTGATAATTAACACAATGCTTAACAACCTAAATTGAAGATAGCAATGAAGTTGATCTTTGTGAATTCAAATCAGGACTGCTTTTTTAATTATCACAGATGAGTTTTTTAGGAATAAAATAATACAAACAAAAGGCTCATGGAAAGAAATGAGGAAATGGTTGGAAATGAAAATTAGAAAAGTGCAAGTTGCTAAGAAATAGAACAATGTTAATAACTTGCCTCAAATTATAGTTCGAGGCAAAAGGCATCACACTATCACTATCAAGCGTTGAACCCAAGCACAAAGTACAGTACATGTAAACATACAAAGTAAATCCAATCAATTCCTTTAGGAAATGTGCTGACTAGTAAAGCTTGGTACGTTTCTATTGCTTATATTCTGAATGGCGAGGAAGTGGGCATCACCTGATCTGTGGAGATTTGGTAGGCAAGGAGTGCTGTGACCCTGTATAGATTGGCTGCTGGCTGAAGAGGGTGGAGCAGAGTATCAGCTTTTGGTTCCAGTTGAGCTATTGGTCATTTCTTCTCCCTTGTATGCTGGCTTCCTTGTGTATTGATGTCCAGTCCTCTTCAGCCTAACTTCTTCCAAATCTTCCAGACTTCCTTCCCCACTGGCCTAACTTCTTGGACCTAACTTTCAGTACTCCCAGGCTTAACTTCTGGAGGTTTGGTTCTCCTGGGTTTTCTGAAATGAGCACACATACCCAAATATTAGATAGTATGATTTAAAGCTCATTGTATCATGATTGTGCTTTAAGTTGTTTATATACAATTTTTTTCCCTGTAAATTACTTTTTTAATACTAAAATGTTTTTGTATGAGATGGTACAGTACTGTAGGCATTCTACCATTTCACACAAAAAGCCCTTATATTATTGTATTACTAAGAGTTTGCTTTTAAATGTATTACCTGTTTATATTGCAAGTATTCCATAACAATCACATACAGTAACACATTAAATAATTTTCACCTGATATTAAAAGATAATCAAATGTGTTTACTGGTTGTAAAGTTGATACATAGTTTATCTAGTTTATCTTTCTTCCATTGTTTTCCCCTGGATCCTATGTGCTTCCATTTCCTTGCTTTTTGTGTTATTTTTCTCTTCGCTAAACTTGGCCTGTTCTTGGACTTCTGATTCCTAGTCTGTTATACCTGCACAGGGTCCTTTTCCCTGGTCTTACACAATTAGCATAAACACAGACATGAAAACAGCATGGACTTAACAATTAGTGACATTGTACAGTACATACAGTAGATCATTGGGAACTTCTTCTCTACTTAGTAAAGTTACTTCTACTTCACAGAAATTATATGAAGGAAGTTGACGGACTGTCATCTGTTTACCTACATTGTCACAAAAGCAACTTTCTCGTTTTCTTTCTCGTTTTCACATACTGTAGGTGTCTTCACTCAAAACTGTGTCATTCTGGCTCTATGACTAAAAACAACAAACCAGTGCCTTTTTTCATGCACACATCAAACTCACAGACACGCATTTATTACAAGGCTTTATAAATTATAAGTCATTAATAATATACATTTTTGTCATGCCTTTTTCATACTCGGGAGGTAACAAAGAATGTGAAAAGGCTTTGTAAAATCCATCATTTTGATCCAGTCCAGAAATACTCCTCATAACATCATACCCAGACAGGTAATTAGACTGCGTTGCTTAGTTAATAATAAGGTGTGAAAGCTAGTTAAGTGTTTCACAAGTCTTTGAAGAACCAATTAGTAACAGTAGAAGGAACTTGTTTACATTTTTGAATGGTTGCGTGCCTCTTGATGGGGAAAAAAGGCTGTAAAACATCAAACAATAAATTACACATGCCAACTCACACACTGCAGTTATCTGAATACTGCATTAAAAATAATTGGAATCCCACAGTGTACATCCAGTAAGGGATAAGATGCGTAGTAGTAGAGGTATAGTATCCTTTAGGCTGGAAGGTGTACATTCAAATCCAGGTTATATATCAACTGCAGACTGTGGTGAGGAGCTTCAGGGGAGTTACATAACCAGGCGTGGCATGATAGCTCTGCTGTTTTCTTTTCTGGCTCAATTGGAAAAGAAGCAGATTGTGCATTGTCAGGCATACTTGTAATGTCTTGGCAGGCTGGTGCAAGAGTTTAGATGTGTCAGGTTGAAATAACAGATTTACACAGAACTATTGATTGACTATTGGATAGTGTTTTCTTTGAGAGGAGTTGGAAAGACACCGACAATTGTTGGAACAGCTGTATGAATGTGTATTTGTTAATCAGAAATAAAAGGAATTGGTTTATCTAATGTAAGGAGTAAAGAATTCTTTGCAGACACATTTTCAAGTCCTAAATATTATGTTAAGCTGAGTAATTAAAATTATATAGTAATGTTCCCTTGACTTAACTGGGAATGCACAGAAAAATAAAGGTAACAATTATTCCCAGTGAATCAAATTTAATTCTTCTAGATGGCAGAAGAGCAAAAAATAAAAGATTTAGGTGTACATAGGTTACATGATGCATGCAGGTAGTTACACTATAACAATATGAATTCTGTCTCCTTTTTCAGGTTTTGCATTGTCTCCTGTACTTTCAGCACCGCTGTTAGGCCTGACACCTGGCCTGTTGCCAGGGATGGAAGCCACTGCTCTGCCTTTAAACAGCATGACATGTAAGGACGGCCAAGTAAGCATTCAGAATCGTGTCACTTCACCTCCGCCCGAGGCCAGTAATCTTTCAGAAGCAGCGGTACCTGCTCCACTTGGTTGTCAAACAGGTGAGCATTGTACTTAGCAGCTCACAGTTAATGAGAACTGATGCTACAGATGTACCAGTGTGTAATGCTGAAGAGAAAACAGACTATTCCATTTCCTATGAGGGTAAGTGAAAAGACACAAAAATTGTTACTTGTATGTACAGCACACAAAACATAAACGCATTCTTTTTGGGGTCAAATTATATACATCATCTTACTCCACAGCCTCGATCTACTCTTGAGATTTGTGCACTTTGAGACATTAAAAAGTGCCAATATAGTTTTCTTTTTGTTGCCATGAATCAATGCATGAAACACAGAGCTTCAATATTATTAAATTATACAGGTATGTGGTGAAAATCAAGAACCTGCACTCTTCTAAGTAATATCTGAGACTTTTTTTTTTGAGACTGGGGGAGGAGTCCCCCTCAGGACTTTTTCACTTGGCAGGAAGGAGTGGGTGGAATTCTCCATGCATTATCCATTATTGTTGTCCTTCAGGTAAAAAACAATATCCTCCACCAGGGGAACCAATAACTCCTGCCACTTAAACCAAATGAATGCAGTAATTACATGTTCTTTGTATGCTTGGAAATTTGGAAAGAAACGAAAGATATTTATAAGAAAATATAAATCTTGAAGATAACTAACAAAATTTTCACTATCAATATCAGCAAACATTGCAGTTACTATTCTTCATCATCTGTTAACAGGCAGTGTAACAAAGCCATATTTCATGACCAGGACTGTGTGACATGTGAAAGGTTTGACAGATTATAAAATGTGAGAGAAGTCAATAAAACCAGCCAGTATTCAGTTGTACAGAATGGAAGTTAGTTTTCAAAATACAAGATTCATAAAATGCACTGAATACAATATGTACCCTATATATATAATATGTACTGTATAGTAGGTATAATGTTTATACTCCATATGCTGTTTGGAGGATAGGGTGCCTAATGTACTGTATACTGCACATACATATCTGTGAGGATTCAAGGTCAATCAATGATGGACCTCAGTGAAGTATAACTACTTTCATTGGATTATTAAGTATTATTGGGGAACATTAAAGAGGATCCTGCAGTCTGTGTGGGTCCTAATGCCCCAGTATAGTGGCGGGGACACTATACTGTAGTGGGCACTGTCTTTCGGATGAGACGTTTAACCGAGGTTTTGACTCTTAGTGGTCATTAAAGATCCCCAGGCATTTCTCGAGTATAGTAGGGAGTTATCCTAATGTCTGGGCCAAATTCCCCCCCTCAGCCCTTACTGTGGCCTCCAAATTGTCCCATGTATAATTGGCTTGGACTTGCTCTGTGATGGAGTGGCACCCTGTCCAGGGTGTAACCTGCCTTGTGCTCCGGCTTCACCGCAACCCTCACCAGGAAAAGCAGAAGTGAAAATGGATGGATTAATCAGATGATAGCACGATCAGCACCCCTACAGTTCAAGAAAGCTTAATTACTGAAATACTCGTTGAGAATAAAAGAATAAAAGTTCTAACTGTCGGTTACACCAAGTTAGATGAGAAGTTTATTTATTTCTTTTTAAAATTTTTAACAAAGAAAAAAAATTAATAGATTTATAGAACCAGGCGACACTTTCTGTGGTCTAACTGGGCACAAACAGGAAAAGTTGGTAGCAAAATGACTAAGTAAAACACAGTGAGACAGCAATACATGAGGTTTTTTAAAAAGAGTACTGATAATTTTGAATCAACATTAACTCTAAGTGATCTTTCTACCTAGTAACACGCTATTTTCTCTCATTGCAGAACCCCAAACACAGTTTGAGAAATTATCAGTAATTATGCATTCTTGGAATAATAATAATAATAATAATAATAAACTTTATTTTATATAGCGCCTTTAAAGGTGGCTTCTCAAAGCGCTTTACAGGATGACAATAACAATAAATAAGAAGACTACAACAATAAATAAGAAAATTTCACAAGACAGGACACAATTATAATTAC